CGGCCGGCCGGCTCGGGCCCGGGCCTGGGACTTGGGCCTTGGTCCTTGGTTCTTGGTTCTTGGCAATTGGACTTTGGGCTGGACTTGGGCGGCCTTGGGCGCTTGGGCCTTGGTCCTTGGTTCTTGGTTCTTGGCAATTGGACTTTGGGCTGGACTTGGGCGGCCTTGGGCGCTTGGGCCTTGGGCCCAATCATTATATATTTTTTTGTTGCAAATTTATTTGCAATTTTAGGCCCAACTGGAAAATCCAATTTGGATTTGGACTCGGGTTTTGACCCAACCCGTGTGAGACCTCTCCAGGTACAACGAACCTAGACACCTGACTCTTCATGTGAAGTAACAATTCAGGATAATGGGGTTAATGGTGTTAACTCCTCCTGGTTAATGGTGTTTTAACACCTGAAACGTTTTGAGAATAATGGTGCCATTTATCTCAGCTTTAAGTGGCTGGTGTAACCCTTGGTTCTCCCTCAAAGGTGGAAGTCCTATAAATAGGACATTGAGTTGCAGAGAAGATATATAACATTTCATGCACTCTGATTATTCTCAAAGTCTCACGCATCATATCATACTGCTCTGTTCTCGACTTCATTCCAGTTCGTCGGAGCTCGAATTCTGGTGTGCTACAGTGTTCGAGACGTAAGCCGTTGTATCTTTGGGGACGAGACGCCTGAACCCGTCAGCACTATACGGGGCGTTTTCATCTTGCGGAAAGAGCAATCGTCTCGGCTATTCTAGAAACAGGTCGGGTTTGGCTTTCCCCGAATGCTTCGGGCTTGTCCAGGCCGGACTGAGTCTGGGTATTTTTGCCATCCCTATCTACGATGTCGAGGCGGAGGCTGAGGCAAGGTCGAGGCAAAGAGTCCAGCAGAATTGGATATGAAGAAAGAGAGGACGGGGCGACATGAAGCGAGGTTGAGGCAAGATCGAGTTGGAGATGTCGAGCACTTTACCGTTAATATGTTGGTAAATAAGGCGACACATTTTGAAAACGATAATATGTAACTACGTATTTTAGAAAAGTGTAGCCATATAGATAAAAAGAACAACGTTTTTGTATAAGCATCATAATTCAACAATATTTTTTTAATAATGTCACCATGTTGTCAAATAACGCGACACTTGTTTAATAATGTCACTAACTAAATAATTACACTTTTCTTAAGTGTTGTTATTAACTTAAAAATAGCGACACAATTGTATAAGTATCATAATATAATTACACTTCCAAGTAAATGTTGTCATATTAGTAAAAATTGTGACACTTTCTAAAAATGTGACATTATTTTAGTACATTTTGCAAAATGTGTTGCAATATAGCTAAACATTACGACACTTTTTTGTATAAAATGTCATAATTTAATTACACATTTAAATAAATGTCCCAATATTGGTTAACAAGGTGACACTCTCTAAAAAGTGACAATTTTATTACATTTTTTAAAAAGTGCTGTTATAATTTTATCTTTGTAGCATTTTTAAAAAAATGTCACAAACACATCAATTTTAATTACACTTATTAAAAAAGTCACTATATTTATGTTGTTAGAACTCTTTTTTGTTGTAGTAAATTTATATTAGCATTTGTAAAACTAATAACACAATGAAATATTAAAAATAACATTATACTCAATTAAGAATAGCACTATATACAGTTCTCACACTAGAGCTAGTTTTTATTGAATCAGCTCATATATATAT